GCAGCCTCAGATGTGTCCATCAACATGTGTAACAACAACAACAACAATAATAATAGAGAGGCTTGTTGGCAAAAGGGGGAATATGTTGATAATCACTGCTGTTTTAAAGTTCTGAACCCCTTGTAGCTAGGATGTTCAGCAACTTTCCTTCAGAGTAAATCCGGTGGTATTCAACAAGATTCAGACCATTCCGCAAAATCACTTGTTGTACCCTCTGTCTCCCATTTCCCCCGGTTGTACTGCTCAATTTCCCACTATTTGGTGCAGGCCGCATTTTGATCAGCATCTCCCCCACCCCACAATTTCTCCCGCATCTTCTTGATCCTTATTTCCTTCGGAGTAAATTCGGTGGTATTCAACGAAAGATTCACTTTCTATTCAAACATACGTAAAATCGGGTGGCATCGGTGCTGCCTTTGAGCAGTTGTAGTGGGTAAAATATAACTTTTAGGACGCTAGCGCCACCTACAGTTTTATTCTTCTGCCCGTTTCCCCGCATTTCAAAAGGAGCAAACTTCTGATCTCGTTACGGAAGCAAAGCTCCCGTTGAGGTTGTTTAGAAGCACTTTTGCAGGCCCTCCCTTTCCGGTCCCAAAGAATCTCTCTTGCCGTGTTGTCCACTCCATATCTCATTTTTGCAGCCTAAGACCTATTAATTGTTGGAAGCATCCGTGTCTCAGTCGGGGTTGGGTTATGGGCGTTCGTTCCCCCCACCCCACCCCAAGCAAGTGTGTTTAAAATTGCACCCTTCGGAGCACTGAGAATCAGGTCAAGGCAGCCAATGCTATCACGATACAGACAAAAACGGAGTGGAGGAATAAGTTGGTGGCCACGCTCCGCATAGGACAGCGGGGAACTTGGGGAAGGGCTACTATGGCAATGCTGCTGAAAAGAAGCAAGGTTGGCTTCTTCGAGAAGAATGCCTGGAGGAAAACGTAGGAAGAGGAGAAAAGCTCTCCCTTTCGCTTTCCGGCTCGCTCGCAGCCGGCGGGGGGAGCCGCCCACCTACGCCGTCACCGGAGCCAGTCCTTCGTGAGACGCCCTAGCAAGACTCCAGTTTACAGCAGCCACCGAGTTGCAACTTGCGACTGCCGCCCGTCGCGCTCCTTGGTACCTGAGGCAGCCGTGTCTCCCCAGAAGCCTGAGGCGCAGCCAATCCGCAGAGGGGGGCTCGGCTGGGGGGCGCAGGGCTCGCTGCTCCAGAGGCGGCAGCCTCCTTGCCCCAAGAGGCGAGGCGCAACACCCGCTGCCCGGAGCCCCAGCAATGCGGTGCTGTTCATGTCGTCTCCTCACCAGGCGCGGCCGGGGCGGGCGGGCTCCTCGAAGGGAAGTGGCGCTGAGGAGGAGGTCCGCCCGCGGTTGCCGCCGCCGCTCCTCGCTAACTGGAAATCTTTGCCCGGCCCCCATCTGGCTCAGGCCAATTCAGCTGGCCCCGCATTGCCTCTGCGAGTCAGGTCGCGCTTGCTGTGTGAATGAACCCGTTTGTCACTAGAAAAGTCTCAAAAAAAGTGTTGCCTTTTTCTCCCCTTGCGGGGGGCAGGGGGAATTCAACAGGTGAAGCGCTTGTGCTTCCGCCATTCTAGCAGCGCCGGGCTTCGGGTTTCCCGCCCTTGTCGTAAACGGCGCCGTATAGAGTTGCTATTTCACTTGGTGAAAACTCATGGGCACCAAAATGCAGCGACGGAAGCTGCTGGGCCTTCTGGATTTCTTTCTATCGTGGAGCTGTGGGGTGGAGGGAGGGAGTCTCTGTCATAAACAAATAGCAAGCTTCGTCTCCAGACTGAAGAAGGCAAACTTCAGGTGTTACATTTCTTGCTTTTAGAAGTGCCTCTGCCAGGGAAAAGAATTCAGACAAAGAATTATGCAAGCGAAGGAGGCAGCAGTCAAGCAAAGTGTTCGCATTGGTGGCTACAATTTGCATACGTTTTCTTTCATTTTTAGTTTCATAGTGCAATATATCTAATTCTCAACACGGCCCCATCCGGGGATACTTAAATTCAGAGATTGGAGCCATGAACAAACAAGATGGATCTTTCTACAAACTGGAGAAAACCCCAGGTTTGCAGAAAAAATTGGGAAAAATACATTGGAGCAGGGGTTGTTTCATAGAAAAAGAGCTAGGGAAACTCATTAGCATAACTCATTAGCATATGCCACACCCCCTGACATCATGAAGCAGAATATTAAAATTAAGACTTTAATAGTCTAAGTGACCTCTGTCTTATGTCTAATACAAAATTTTCAAAAGTATTTTCTTAAAGGTGCTATTTGTTAGTCTTAAAGGTGCTATTTGTTAGTCTTAAAGGTGCTATTTGAACTCTTGGACTATTTTGCAGCAACAGACTAACACAGCTACCTGGGGAAGCTCCTGGATGGGGCTGGGAGTCCCTGCAGAGGACACGTGGAGTGGTCTTGGCCAGGCAGATGGGGAGGACGCCAACTTACCCTCCTGCTTCTTCCTCCTTCTGCAACAGAATGAGGCTGGAAGCGGGGTGGCCGGAAGAAGGGGGCAGGGCTTCGTTGTGTGCCCCGCCCCCGCCCCTCACCCGGGGGAACTGCGATCCCCCGCGATCCCCCCGAATCTACCTCTGCATTGAAGGTGGGGGCTAAAACCCTCAAATGACAGAAGCAGCACTGGTAGCTTTAAGAAATTGATGGTGCCTTAGATTTAGCAGTCATGGAGGTTGCTGGGGAACCACAACAGTATTGCCAGCTTTTATCAGTAGAAGATAGGACTTTTCCCAGAGAGAGAAAGCTGATCAGGGCCAGGCTTAGCTGCAACCACCATGCAGCTTGCATGTCTCACCCAAGCCCATCTGGCAACTCAGTACTGTTCACCAGTAAATGCTGCACAAAAGCTTAGCTTGGTATAGTGGCAAAAGTATCAGACTAGGATCTGGGAGACCAAGGTTTTAATCCTCACTCTGCCATGAATTGGTGACCTTGGGCAGTCATTCATTTTCAGTGTAACTGGCCTTCTTACAGGGTTGTTGTGAGGATACAAACGTTCAACACCTGAACAACTACATAATACATTTTATTTGAGCCTCACATTAAGAACAAATCAGCCCCATAGCCAGGAATTTTTGAGAAGGGATGCACCAGGGGGCACTAACTGAATTAATTTAAAGTAATTTAAACTCTGGCGGGTCCAGGGATGACACAGGTGTAGGGTTGCCAACCTCCAGTTGGGGCCTGGGGATCTCCCGCTTTTGCAACTGATCTCCAGCTGACAGAGATCAGCTCCCCTGGAGAAAATGGCTGCTTTGAAGGATGAACTCTATGGCATTGGACCATGATGAGGTCCCTCTCCTCCCCAAACCCTGCCCTCTCCTGGATCCACCCCCAAAGTCTCCAGGTATTTTTCACCTCAGATTTGGCAACCCTACACAGGTGAGGATCCCAGAACTGAGGAGATGGGGGTAGGTAGGAGTCAGCACTAACCTGGTAGGGCTGCCATCATTGCAAGTGACTGAACTGTTGAGCGGCAAGTGGAGCTCCAGCTCCTGGTGCAGATTTTGCGCTGAGCAAGGGGAAAAGAGACTGTGCCAGACTTTTGATCTGAGCCATGAAATTGTCCATGTTGCTCTTGACAGCAGTAAAGTCCAATGGGAAGCTTTCTACCAGCTGCCTTCTCGTCCCAAACCCTTCCTTCCTTCCTTCCTTCCTTCCAGGATACTTGTGGTAGAGTATATACAGTTTATTTACAGAGCTATATATAAATACATACACGCAGCTTTGCAGCAGTTCACAGGTCTGACTGACAAAGTGCTTCGCTGAATATCCATTCATTAGGCAGGGTGGTTGGTCAAGAACCTTTCTCCATATATACATCAGTTGACCAATCACTGTTCAGCACTGTACAACTGCTTAGTCATTCTGACTCTGGCAGATATGATGCAACTTCAGTCATCATGTGACTATGTGACTGTCACCTTAGATCATCTGGATCTAACAGCAAGACATGACATGCTGTCATCTTGCCTATACCAACACTGCAATGCATGCCGCTTTCACTTTCTTTGATCAATGGTTATTACGGTACTTTCTGCATAGATTTATGGTTTTTCAGGGGTGTCTTTGCGGAAAACAGGGCCACATCGCCCAGGCTTGCTGCTCCAAGGGACACCAGCGCCGCACCACCACCCATCAAAGCAGGGAGCGATGGCGCAGGCAGTTAAACGCCTGCACTGTAACATCACCTGAGCAGCCACTATGGCTGTTCGAGTACCACCGCGGTCGAGGTGAGCTCTCGACCTTCGTCCCAGTTCCCGCCTACCCAGCGGTCTCGAAAGCAACCTAATTGCAAGTAGGTAAATGGGTACCCACCCTTAGAGGGATGGGGGCACCCTGTGTGGTTGGCTGAAGATGGCGGAGATAGCGGAGACGGCGGCAGTGGCGGTAACGATGGCGGCGGCGGCGATCCTGGCGTGGACGGCATTGGTGGTGCGGCGAGCAAGGCGGCGGCGAGCAAGGCAAGGTGCGCGTTTGAGCGATCCCTGGCGGCGGAGAAGGAGTACACCGAGGGCTGCGGTGAAGAGAGAAGAAAGGGGCGTGTGCAGATGCCGAGTTCCGGCTCAGCGGAGCCGGAAAGGACGTGGCTGGGCCGGAAAGTAGGTGGAGCTGCGCGCCTAAGGAA